CCTAGTGAGGGCCCCAGTTTAAATTCTGCTCACCAGAGTACTTAACATAATTTGTCTCTACTCTCTTTCAGAGAGGGGGGTGGGGTTTAGCCTGCTTAATCTCACCTAGATTGGATATTGGACCTTGCGATCTTTTGGTGGCAAATGATTTGAATACTGCCTTTGTATTAAAGTTGGATGACATGACAGTCATCCTTTCCTCTGTTTATATTCCTCCACATTAACTGGGAGTTGTGGAGTTCGTATAACTGGGGTTTGTGGACTTCGTATTTTGAGTTGGAATATTGCTGGCTGGGCCTCAAGAATTTGTTGTAAAGACACTAATTTTTTATAAATACATTAAAGCATTTGTGGCATCAAAGCATTTATGACACTAAAGCATTGATGGTCTTCTTTGATATTCTACTCCTTCAGGAGACTTGGCTAATGGATGAACCCGTCTCTACTCTCTTTCAGAGGGGGGGGGTTAGGCTGCTTAATCTCAACTAGATTAGATATTGGACCTTGCGATCGTTTGGTGACAGACAACTTGATTACTGCCTTCGTATCAAAGTTGGATGACATGACAGTCATCCTTTCCTCTGTTTATATTCCTCCACCCACTCCTAGTATATTGGTTCAGAGATGGGATCACCTGGGTAAAATTGTTGATGACTTGCAAGCCCATGTTCTGGAGATCCCTTTAGTACTAGCGGTGACTTTAATGCAAAGATTGACAGTGACAATTATACACTTTTCTCTAAATTATTAGGCTCTGATAATGATGGATTTCTCAGCCCTGCTTGGCACAATAGAAAATCTAAGGACAGTGTAATAAGCAGAAGTGATTTGGAGCTCTAAATTTGCAGTACATAGAAACTTTATCCCTCTGAATGGCTACTCAGAGATTGATGGGGCCGGTGACTTCACTTACGTGAGTCCCAAAGGAGCCAGTGTAATAGCTTATATCCTGGCCCCACTTCCATATCTCTCCCATTTTAAGTTCCTAAAAGTTTTATATCCTAGACCCACTTCCATATCTCTCCAATTTTAAGTTCCTAAAAGTTGGTGGTTTGTTGGGAAGTGATCATCTCCCAGTCTTCATCTCTATGGACTTATCATTGGAACGTTATCTTATTCCAGCACAAAGATCATCTTTGTGGTCTCTGTACATCACACTGTTGGGATATAGTGCACTTGCACCAATCCTGATCAGTAACATAGAAAGCTGAAGGGGATTTTCCGTGCCCTTACCCTGTGCCATGTTCAGGGGGCTCCACTGCACATGCCTACAGAGAAGGGCACAAGAATCCTGCCAGTTTTCTTCTGACCACTGTGCTGTTTGGGCCTTTCTCCTCGCTTCAGTCAGTAACTCAATTCCTTCTCTTGGACAATTCTCCTTGGACCTGGAGGGTTAGTGAGTTTACCTAGAAACTATCAAGCTCTGTTATATGCTAGCCAAGAGGCCGCTATCTGGACCTGTGCATGCTCACTCCACATGAGCTCTAGCCACTTTGACTACTTTCCTTAAGGGCACACCGCTGCATGGTATCTGCAGTGCAGCCACGTGGGCTATGCCTCATACCTTTGTGAAACACTATTCCCTGGACATTCGCCTCCATCAATGAACCTCGGTGGAATGTTCCGTGTTGCAGTCAGTGTGTTTTTGAGTCCCTTCCAGCAGCCTCCTCCAGGTAGCCCTGAGCTTGTTATCCTCCCAACGGTGTGATGCACAGAGACCACAAAGAAGATAGACAGGTTGCTTACCTGTAACTGGTGATCTTTGTGTGGTCATCTGTGCATTCACACCACCCGCCCTCCTTCCCCTCTGCTGGTGGTCCTCGCCTTTTCTTGAGGCTTCTTGCAATGGTCAGAAGGAACTGGTGGGATCCTCATGCCCTTCCCTGGCATGAGGAACTGGTGGGATCCTCATGCGATGGAGCCCCCTGCGCATGACACAGGGTAAGGACACGAAAAATCCCTTTCAGCTTTCTATGTTACCGATTCGGATCAGTGCAGGCGCACTATATCTCAATGGTGTGAACGCACAGATGACCACTCAAAGATCACCAGTTACAGGTAGGCAACTTTTCTTTTCCCTCTCTCACAAAATGAAAATAAAGCCTGTTGATTACAATGGAGCTCTAACTCTAGTGATAAGGCTCGAACTACAATGGGCTCCAAACCTTGAACACCCTTGTTAACAAGTTTGCAGTTTGATTCAGTGCCTAATTGTCTGTCTAGATGAGGTATTAAAACAGTTTAGACCACTTTATGTGAAGAAGAACCTTGATTGGACATTCCCTGAAGTTAAGAGGAATAGCTCATTTAATGGTGACTGCAAAAGAATGAAAAGGTGCATCCAACAGAAGCATTGTGAGTTCAAAAGTAACTGCAATATCAGTCCTCTGAGAGTTGATGGAACTGATTAAGATGAGGAGACGGATGGCCCTTAACAAGGAATGGGGTTATCTCACTTCAGCTATCAGTAAAAATGACAATAAGGCCTTCTGGTCTATCGTCAACACTACTTTCAACCCAGCCTTTAAAATCCCATGCTGTATTGCCCCTTTGACATGAGAAGTCTATTTCAAGAGGCTATTCTCAGATGCTAATGGGCCTAGTACATCTGTTATTATTCCTCTTGATGTAATAGCACCCTGGCCCGAGGTATCAATTAAAGAGGTCATTTGCCTTATCAGGGGATTAAAATTAGGAAAAACTCTGGACTCTGGTCTAATCCCAAATGAGCTATTCAAGGCTGATCCATTATGGTGGGCCACAGTCCTGGCCCTAGTTTTCACTCAAATTAACATCAGTGGACAAATACCTGATTCATGGAAACATTCTATTATTATCTCGATACTTTAAAAGGGGTCCAGAAGTGACCCATCGACCAATCAACCTTCTCTCTTCTTTAGGAAACCTATATTTTGCTTACTTACTAAAGAGGCTCCGGGATTGGATGGAATCAGAAACCATACTGGGGCATGAGCAGATAGGATTTAGGTGGGGTTCTTCAACATATGACCATCTATCACCTGGCTGAGAAATATTCATCTTTTAAGGGGGGAGATTATATGCAGCTTTTATTGACCTCAAGGGGGCCTTCAGCTCCTTAAATCACCCTAGATTGTGGAACAAATTTAAACTACCATGGACAAAAGGCTCCTAGGACTTATTCAACATTTATACTTGGGTTTTACTGCCCAAGTACAATGTGAGCACAATGGGAATTTAACAAATCCATTTAATTTGGAAAAGGAGGTTTGTCAGGGATGTCTGTTGGCACTTTCTTGTTTAATTTATATTTAAACGACATAGCATTAATTTTGATGATTATTGCCATCCACCAACATTAGCTAAGATTGGTGTACCTATTTTGCTTCATGCGGAGGATGTCATGACCTTGTCCCGAACCAGTGTTGGGTTTAAAAAGGGCCTTGCAATCTTTCTCCAGTTATTGTTGTCAAGAAAGCCTGGTCATTAACTACCCAAAATCTAAGAACCTAGTTTTCACCAAGACCAGAAAATGGAACCTGTCTCAATGGTCTATCAATGGTTCCAATGGATTCTGTTCTCAGTGGATCGATCTTGGACGCCCCAATTTAGAACAGCACTTAATAAAGCAAAACCTTGTGCAAGCGCCATAAATAGGTTCTTCCACAATAAGAGGGGAAAATATATTCCTGGAGTGGTGGAGTCCTTTAATTTGAAAGTGGCTCCACTCATTCTTTACAGTTCAGCTATTTGGAATAAAGCTATCTCTGATAATATTGATCAACCACTAGCCCAGTTCTTAAGGAAAATATCCCTGCTGCGTGTCAAATGTTGTATACGGGCAGAATTTGAACAGATTAAAACAGCTCTGTGCTGAAGATGGTTTGTTAGTGAGAGACTCACAGATCAACTTGGATGAAAGCCCTGGATGAGAAACTGATGAAAGTTGGAATGTCAATTGATGATATTTTTGAGATGGGCATGATTCTGAGAGCCCACAGAGTATGCTCACCCCTATTTTTTTTGTTTTTCTTACCCAAAATCTTTACCTTCCTATATGTACTATTTTACCATCCCATGTTATTGGAGAGCTTTTTTGTTTGCAAGATTGAACATTATACCTACAATGGTTTTCCAAGGGAGGTTTTTGAATAGGCCCTACAGTGACAGAATTTGCCCTCATGGCCTTAACTGGATCAATACATCCTTTCACACCCTGCTGGAATATAGATTTTTTTTGAGATTATGAGGGATTACTATATTAAGCCTTTATTCAACCAATCATCCCCCTATCCTTCAGAAACCCTGGCTCTTTTGCTCAGTAATAAGGATCCTAAGATCACACTAGCAATCGCAAAATTTATCTCAATCCTTTTAGCCCTTTCATCTAAAAAATAAGAAATAAGTGTCTTCTGCTGCTCAAGATTTGTGAATCAGTGGGCATCTAAGGGTACAAAAGGAAAGGAAATAAATATATGTCACTAAAAAGTGCCTGCCTGGTGATTTGCTACAAATATTTCTGTGCACTGGCTAGTTAGGCCCTGAGCCCTCTGAGACAGAGGCTGATTTCGCACTAGAGTTGCCTCGATGTTGCGCTGCCGTTTGCCCCGATACTATTGGTCAATTTCACACCCGAAGCCGCAGGGCTGCATTTGACCCGCGGCTTCGCCCGATTTCCTCTGCAGTTTCATGATCCTCAAAAAACAGGATCATGAAACTGCGGGGAAAATTGGGCGAAGCGGCGAGTCAAAACGCAGCCCCGCGGCTTCGGGTGTGAAATTGACCAATAGTATTGGGGCAAACGGCAGCGCAACATCGAGGCAGCTCTAGTACGAAATCAGCCAGAGAAACTGATGTGGGGTGGAGAGGAAGGATGCTTGAATCCTTTCTTCACCCACCAGTTGTGTTACAAATCCCCTTCCCCAACCCCTTCCTCCCACAGGGTCCTAAATGCATAGTGTTCAAACAGTCTCCCCTTGCCCTAAGAGCGGTACTGAAGTTTTCTTTATGTTCCTAAACAGGCAACAGGTTCCAGAGAAGAACCAGAAGAAGAAGAAGAAAACGAAGTGGCGAGGAGACAGAGCCTCTACTTCCCACAAACTGCAGTGTGTAATTTTGTGACTGTTCCTTCTGTGATTTCCCCCCCCCATCCCAACTTGAGCCTAACTCCGAAGCACCGTATCACTTACCTGCAGTGTTAATGTTTGAAGAACAGTAATTATCTCATGAAATAACTCAACAGGAAGCAAAGCCTGAGGCATTTTTGAAGCTCGGCCAAAGGACTGCTTGGCAAGCGGTGCAGGATGGTTTTTCAAGGCACTCCAAAAGAAGGGGACAAGCAGAGACCAGAGGTTTATGAACGTCAACCATCACCACAATCTTTATTTTATAAAGGGGGGGGAAATGTTCTTGTTTAGGCCAATTTCTGACCAGTCATGAATGACTCCATTTTGTACAATCATGTTCTGCGTCAGGGTCAGCGGGGTTTTCCTGCCCAGCAAGAAAGAAATACAGTGGATTTGTTTTCTCTTGCACTGAACACTCCCAGCTATACACACCAGTGCCAAACTGCAGTTTCATAGGAAAGTGTATAGATTGAAGAAAGAAAATGAATTCCAGCTGCTCTGGGGACTCCAGACTTTGTGTCAGAAACTGGAGTGTAGCCAGCTCTCGGTCTGCAAACTCAAGCAAAGACAATGGAGGAATGGGCTTGGTTTGTTAGCTGTTGTTATTGTTGCTGTTGTTATCATTGTTGTTAATCCCAGTGGGGGGTTGTGCTTTGGGGGAGCATGTCAAGGGTGGAGGGAGACAGCCATTTTGCTAATTTTGAAAATATTTAAATTAAAAGTAATTTGCAGTTTTGAAAAAGAATCTTTTTTTATTTGAAAAATACAATTTTTAAACAGCTATATTTTGAACAGTGGATACCTGGCTTCAAAATATGAAATATTCTGATTCTTGGTGGGTTTACTTTCCTTTGTATCCTGAAGCTAAGTCACCTCGCAGTGTTGGGATTGCATAATGCTCTTGTTTCTTTTCCATATGTTTTTTTCCTTTCAATAGTACACTACCACTCTTTGGAGGGCTTCTCTCTAATTTCTTAAAATCATCTTGTGTATTAAGGATAATTTCTGTGGACAACTCCGTAATTATATTTGGGGTCATATGGAGGTCTGAAGTGTTGTGGAGAAAATTTCATGTAGTGAGCTGTTGCATAAACGAACAGCTTTCTGGGTGGATATAGAAGCCATGGTACTTGGAGTGGCCACTGTGACTGGAAGCTGATTTCATGTGCATCTGTGCTGAGGGCCAAAACTACATGGGTGCGTTCAGACGGGGCAATTGAGTCAGTATACGAGCTGGTTAGAAATGGAATACTTACACGTGATCACACTCACAACATCTGCCTCCCGTCCTTAACCGTTGCCAACCATCACAAACACCCCTTAAACCGGTGTAGTTCGCTACTAGGTCCCCAAGTGGTGCTTTCCTGAGTGCTCCGGTTCTAGCCACATTTTCCCCATCTGATCGCTCTCCGCCGGTGTAGAGCCGCTTCCGTTCGGAAGCCCGAGACTTCTGATTTTCATCCTCCATTTTTTTTAAATCATAGGCGATGTGCGCTTGGGCAAACCTTCACCCCGGCGTTAGTAAAAGCAAACTTTAAATGGTGCCCAGTTTCAGCCCTCAGAAGAGTCTGGGACCTCACCGAGGCCAGTTTCGATGTCAAAGTTTAAAGGGAAGTCTTCGCTTCAGGGCATGCTTTTCGGGCTATGGTGTTATGCGCATGCGCGAAGATCTCAATTATATGAAAGATTGTGCATGCGCAAACTGTGTAGAATTTTTCTTTAAAACGCCGACGCGCGCTGCTGAGCGCCTGAAGTGTGGATGCCGGGGATGATGTGCTGCGCAGTGAGAGGTGAGTGTGATTGCGTTTCCCCGGATCAAATTCATCAGTTGGAACTGGAGTGGCTTACACTGCTCCCAGCCCACCGTCTGACCGCACCCCATGTGACGCTGAAGTTCCATAGCTGGAACTCCAGACAGGCAGTTTTGCTCAGAAAGCATCTGCAGAGAGCCCTGATAGAACATAAGAACATAAGAGATGCCAATGTTGGAGCAGGCCAAAGGCCCATGCAGTCCAACACTCTGTATCACACAATGGCCAGAAATACCAGTGCCATCAGGAGGTCCACCAGTGGGGCCAGGACATTAGAAGCCCTCCCACTCTTGACCCCCCCAAGCACCAAGATGACAGAGCATCACTTGCCCCAGAGTCCCTATCTATACCTTGTGGCTAATAGCCACTGATGGACCTCTGCTCCATATGCTTATCTAATTCCCTTTTGAAGCCGTCCATACTTGTAGCATGTAGCTTGTAGCATGCTTGTAGCATGTTGATGGGGCCATGGCACTGGGGAAGGAGTGGATGACCTCCTCCCAGTGTTGTTTTC